ATACAAGTTCATATTCTTTGGACTTCAGATAACCAAAAACCTACTGACAGCAGCCTGTATGTGAGTGATAAGGAGATGCTTACTTCCATGAGCAGAGAGATGGGGAACAGGGCCGGGGTAAAGCTATGGCAGAGGGCAGGTTCAGTCTCCACCTGTGCTGTGACCTCAAACTCTCAACATGGCTACAGAAGCTCCAACCAGCATTATTTTAAAAGCAGGAACTATCGTAGGGCACGGCAGCACACATCTTTAATCGAAGTTCTCAGGAAGCAGAGGCAGGCAGATCTCTGTGAGTTCAAGGCCAGTCTGGTCTACAGAGTGAGTTCCAGGACTGCCAGAGCTACATAGTAGTAAGACTCTGTCTCAAACCCTGGCCCCTGAAAAGAAAATAAAAGCAGGAATTGCTGAGGGGTTATGTCTGGACAGGGAGAGAGCCCTCGTGTCCTCTCCTGCCAGAGGCACCTTTGCAGATCTGCCCTGGTGTCTCATTGCCCAGCCAGCAGCCATGTGCCACCTCTCTATCAAGGACTAGCTTGATCCTCCCCTAATGACTTCCCAGACAAAAGGTGCATTATGCAGTGACCACTGGAGTTGGCTCTGTAGGAAGCCCAGGGTGTCTGACAACTCTGGGGAAAGCTGACTCAACTCCTTCATCTGGAAGAGGCTGTCTCCTGCCCTCCCAGCAAGCATTTCAGCTTTCTTCTTGGCATCCCTTTGCTTCTCAACTTGTTAGAAAAATATTCTTCAGCGAGGGAAGCAGGAACTGGACTGGCTACTTGGTTTACAGTGGGCTGCTTTGGCCCGTCCTCAGGCCTAGCTACTCTTACAAAGGACTGCTGGGGCCCGTCCTCAGTCCATGAACATCACCACCTGAGTGGTTTCACGACAATGCTTGCTCATTGTGGCCATGTCCCATGTGAATGGTGACATTCGTGTTTTGTGGTGTATTCTGATGTGTATGTGTGACTCAATTTCCCTTAAGGAAGGACTGAGGTTTCAGGTAGGGACAGCAGTCAGCCTCTGACTGTTTAGCCTTGCAGTGTAGGTCTCCTGTGTGCACACTGCTCGCTCAAGCTCCTGCTTCACCCCGGGGAAGCCCACTGAAGTCTCTAATGTGGGATAACAAAGGGCTGGCCATCCTGTCCCATCTTCCGACATCTCTGACGGCCATCTGGCTGTGGGTGTTGCTGGCCCCCGTCCTGGCTCGCCTCTCCCAGCCTCCTCCTGCTCCAGTGACTCAGAGACAAGCACCACACACAGGCACAGCTGCCGGTCCTCTCTCCAGAGGTGCAGGAGGGGGTCCAGGCCTGCAGCTAACAAGCAAGAAGACACAGGTGGACAGCCCACGAACTTCCTAACATTGGGGCAGCATAGCTGGATTGAAAAGGGATATTTCGGCAGTCAAATGCACCTGCTGCGAAGCCTGAAGACCCGAGTTCAATGGCCAGGACTGACAAAGGCGGAGGGGGGAGGCTAACTCTCACGTGTCCTGACCTCCTCGTGCAGTGGTGCGGCACACCCCGCCCCCAATGTAAATTGTTTAAAAATTTTTCAGAAAGTGTTCATCTCCCTGCTGAGTGTGAAGGGACGCAGGGCCAGGCAGGAGCAGGAAGCCCCTTGAGGAAGTCCTGGTGGTCAGCAGGGACCAGGAACCTCAGGGCCATCAGTGGGATTTCCCCATCACTGGGGCTGCCCCACAGTCCAGCCAAAGTGCTCACCCGACACCTGGGTGAGGATCAAGTGAAGAAGAGGATGGGGCAGGAAGAGCCAACTACTTGCGTTTTGCTTGTGGCACTGAGTGACCACTGAAGTGGCTGCCAGTGCGGATGATAAGTGGTATCTGCTCAGCTGAGACGTCGGCGAGCTGAGCTGATGGGCAGGTTCACGAGGGGAGGGAACAACGGCAAGCAGGGGCGCGGGGGGGTGGGGAGGGGAATGAGGAGGGTGTCAGGAGGGAGGAGGGGAGAGAGGGCGAGGGACCTCTGCACCTCTGCCTGTTCCAGAGTGATGACAGCATGCGACCTCTGGTGGCACAAGACAGAAACTGTCCTGGAGTCACATTCCCCTGCATCAGAAGGCAGACTGAGTTTACTTGCCCAAATTGTTGGTGAGGGGCTGCTAAGGGCTTCAGGGCTGGGTGGGCAGCAACGCCCTGAGTAGGAAGGCAGTGAGGTGCTTGCCTGGGTGCAAAGTTGAAGTGCTGAAAGTTCAATAGCCAAGGCAGACAATTTAAGTTTTAAAATCAATGTTGGGAGCCCAGGGTGGTGGTGCACACCTTTAATCCCAGCACTTGAGAGGCAGAAGCACATGGATCTCTGAGTTTGAAGCCAGCCTGATCTACAGAATGAGTTCCAGGACAGCCAGGACTACACAGAAGAACTGTCTCAAAACAAAACAAATTGATACGGTATGGTTTATGGCAGCTCATAGCTGCCTGCTTTTGAAAAAGTCTTACTGGGGCCAGTATTTGCTCTTGCTTTTGAAGTTACAACTCACGCCCCACCCCCATCTCCACAAGTGGGGCCTTCCCAAAAGAGTACAGTAACACTGTGTAGCATGGCCCACTCATCCCATTTACCAGCATACTCTTCATGAGGCACCCACCATGCCAAGTTTTACAGAAGCAGCCGCTTCTCATGTACCCAAGGACTGGTTCCATGAGCAGTTAGTTACAGTAGAGGAGTGCTGACCAGGGTCCTCAGGGTTGGACATGTGTTGGTGTCCTGTTGGACTTCCCCAGCCCAGATTCTCAGTGACTTTAAGCTGGTCTTCATTACTCTGTGCTTGCTGCCTCCTGCGAGATGCTTTTATTATTTTCTTATTTTTAATCCCAGTTTCCCTTCCCTCCTCTCCCCCCAGTCCCTTCCTCCACCCCACCCTTTCTGTTCACACCTCCCATTCCACACCTCCATTTCTGTTTAGAAAAGGGCAGGTCTCCTGTGGATATCAACAAAACATGGCATATCAAGTTGCAGTAAGACTAAGCACCTCCCCATGTATTAAGCTGAGCAAGGCGACCCAGTATGAGGAGTAGGGTCCCAAAAGCCAGTAGAAGAGTCAGAGAGTCAGAGAGAGCCCCTCCTCCCGCTGCTAGGAGTCTACAAGAGGACCAAGCTACACAACTCTAACATATAAGCAGATGGCCTAGGTCAGTCCCATGCAGGCTCCCTGGTTGTTGGTTCAGTCTCTGTGAGCCCATGAGCCCAGATTAGTTGATTCTGTGAGTTTTCTTGTGGTGTCCTTTGGCCTTCTGGCTCCCACAATCCTACTCCCTCTCTTCTGCAGGATTCCTCAAGCTCCACCTAATGCTTGGCTGTGGTTCTCTGCATCTGTTTCTCCTGCAAGATGCTTGCAGGAGAAGCATCTTAGTGACTCTCAACTGGGCTAGCGCTGTCAAACCTGGGGTGAGTCGCTGCCATCACTTCTGGTGACCCTAGGGCAGATTTCACAAATGGGTTGGGCTTTGCACCAAGCTGTTGACTCATCCCAACAAACACTTCCCGCTCCCATGTAGTCTGAGGAGCTGGAGCTGCACTGGTCCCCTGGGCCCTTTGTGAGACTCCACCCCTGAGCTACATCAGTACCCATCACAGGCAAGAACTGGGTGCAGATGGACAGAATTCCTGCTGGGGCACCTACTGGGCTCATCACCTCTAGGAACAGCCTCTCCCTCTTGACACCCGCCGAGATCTGCCCTCAGTGCTGCTGCCACCGTTAGTGCCACATGGCACTAGGTACACCTGGGCCAAGTGGTTCACACCATGCTCAGCACTGCTTGGACCCCAGGCAACTGTAGCAGACGGGTAGATGCAGCTGTAGCCTTGTGGAAGCCAAGTGTCTCACTTGCACTCCTGTCCCATAGCTCTCTGTATGCCAGCAACCAATGCACCAGAAAAGGATGAAGCAGCCACCCTGTTTAAAACCCTAGGAGGGCCACAAAGAAAACTATCTTGATAGGGGACCCTGCATGAACTGCCCTGCCCATCTCCTCACCCGTTTTCTGCTCCTCCTCCTCCCCCTCAGTTGTTGCATGCCAGCCTTGTCCCACAGAACTTCTCACCAGCTTAGTACGTGGCCACCCTTCCACTGGAATGCCTTCCCTAAGTTCCTGAATTTGCTGGCTTTCTTCAGACCTTCCCTCGCCACTGAGATGCACTGGGCCCTATAGGAAAGGAAGTACAGCCTCCCCTCTTCTCAACTCTCCAGGGCCAGCACAGCGAGCGCTAGGATCTGCTGACGATGTCTGTGCATCAGACAGTCATTTCTCCATGCAACCTCCCTTACAGTATGTGAGGAAACTGAGGCAGACCATCTCAGTCATGCTGAAAAGGTTACTGCTTGTTCCTGCGGCCCTTAAAAGTCTCTGAAGATGTTACCCAAGTCAGTTCTTGTCAAGTCCATCATATCCAGTGTCTCACTTCTGGATCAGAGGAAGGCCAGGTATGGTGACGCAGTCACTGGGGTGGTGGAAGCTAAGCTAGCCTGGGCTTAGTTTTAGACCTTGCCTCAAAACAAACAAAACAAAACAGAAAACCCCTAAACCTCAGTCAAAGAATGCTGGCAAGAGTGCCTCTTGCTTCCTGTGGTACCTGAGACAGCAACCTCTGTCCAGCCCACCACCCACCTACAGTGACAGCATCCTGAGAGCTGACTACGAAAACTCCTAGCACAGAACATGCCACACAGTGAGCAAAGCTCACTAGCAACAGCTACCCAGTAGGGGTCATGTGTATCCTCTCCTGGCCATCTGTCTGTCACACGCTGGCACTCAGGTGGCAGCAGCAGCCGTGAATGGACTAGAAACCGGGCTTACCAACTTCATTGCAAGGCACTTCATCTTTGTCCTGCCTCCCCACCACTTGAGATACACCAGCTCCCTTCTCTACCCCATGAGCTTCAAGACCTATGGACACTGGAACGGTAAAAACCTACATGTTGCTGCGTTCTAATCGTCTGAAAGTTGTAAATCTGCTTTTCTACAGAAGAAAAATTCGGAATGCTATTTTTGCATCTTTTTATTGTGACTTTCAAAAATATTTCAAGAATTTATCCATACTATATTATGTGTATAATTATGTGTATGTGTGTATCTGGGAAGAGGGGCCTCTGCATGTAAGTAGAGGTGCCTGAGGAGGCAGAGCCATTGGGTCCCTTGAAGTCTGAGTCCTGGAAACTGAACTAGAATCCTTTGGAAGAGCAAGCATCATAAGGCCACCTCTCCAGCCCCTCAAAAGCACCCTTTATAATAAACTCCAAATACACCCATGTAAAAATACACACCTAAAACACGCTTCAGAAAGCAGTTCATCATATCCCAGTCAAGAGTCTGTACTGCTCTCTCAAAGTGATGGTTATATCCCACTAAACTGGCTTGAAGCACAGTCTTCATACACGCACCCAAATCCCAGCAGATTAGAGGAAAGAGAGAAACACTATCCCAAACTGAGTCCCTGTCTTTATTTCTCCAGGCCTACAGTATTGTTCTCAGCTCAATGCCACCTGGAATGCATGAGGTCCACAAGCCACTGTTTGGGAAAAAGCCTATTTGATTTGATCTGAAAACACCCAGGGCTAGGGCTGGGGATGCAGCTCAGTTGGTAGAGCGCTTGCCTAGCACGTGTGAGGCCCTGGGCACTGATAAAACAGGAGTGACAGCACACACCTATATTCAAGGAGTTCAAAGTTATTGATCCTCACCATACACAGCAAGCTTGATGCCAGCCAGAGTTACACACCCAGTTCTGCCTAGACCAGGCCTTGTGCACATTAAGCTCCTGCGAACAGTGAACCGCAGGTGACGGTGACACAGCACAATTGCAGGCCACTTAACAACGACCCCACTGCCTAGGCCCAGACAACCCACAGCATTCTCAGGGGAGACAGTCACTATAGCAACTCTGCTACCCGACCATGGACCGCTTTCTCCCTCTCAGGCGCACTTCATCTAACTTCTTCAGCACTGGACCGGACTTTTTGGATGAAGTACCATAGCTCTTCAGAAAGGCTTCAAACACAGTCTCGGTGTGGGGGTGGGTGCTGAGGAAGGCCTTCTCCAGGACATAGAGGTCGACGCCTTTATCTTCCGGCAGCCCCGAAACAAAACTCAGCCCAAAGTCGATGAGCACAATGTTCAGTTGCTCCAGGGGCCGCTTCAGGAGCATGTTGGAGGTGGTAAGGTCCCCGTGAATGAGGTCTTCGTCGTGCATTCTAGCCAGAACCTGCCCGATTCTCCTGGCCAAGCCCAGGAGGCACTGGGGGTCTTTTTCGGTCTCCATAGTGGACTGGATATAACCTCTAACAGTCACCGAGTCTTCGATTTCTTCCATATACAAGCAGTTAGAAGCATAGTCCACAAAGAAGACAACCGGGGCAGCGATCCCTGCAGTGGAGACACAGGTGCTAGTGTGAGTGTCTGTATGAAGGAGGCGTCACCTGCCCAGGTGGGGCCAGTTTTTCAGTCTAAATCTTCTTACTCTGGAGAGGGCTCAGGAATGCTGTGGGAATGATAGAACTTAACCAGAAGCTTGCCTAAGCCCTGCTCTAGCTCTGCAGGACTATGGTCCAGCCCAGGGTGCGTCTGCAAGTGTCAAAGCTTGCTCCCCTTTCTCAAGTCACCTTAGGACTGGAATTCATTGCTACTCCCTTAAAAAACAAAGGAAACAGAATCCAGAAGGGAAAGCATCCTCCAGTCTGAGCGGCGACCTGACTAGCAGGAGGCTAAGCAGCAGCTCATCTTACAGACCCATCTTTTTCCCAGGACAGGCAGGTTCAAATCCCAGTTCCCTCCTTATTAGTGGTGAAACCTCAAGGTTCCATTAGCTTCTCTATATCTCGGTCTCTGATACTGTAATGTGGTGACAATAGCTCCAATTAAC